ATTATTTAATATAAATAATTCATTTTTAATTCGTGCTCGATTGTTTACCGGCACAATGTTATCTGGAGGGTAACAGGTTATGGGTTTGATATAGAAACCGTTTGATCTGGTAGACCACACGGAAATTAGATTGCGTTTATCGGATCCTAATTAGTTTGGTATCATTGTGTTTATTAGTTTGTGTACCTATTGGATAGCCGGAAGCTTTTGTAATGATTGTAACCGTTATAATAGAAATGATTTCATTTTTAAAGTTAATTAATCTAAATATGGCATTAGAAAGCTTCATCCATCAAAACATCCAGATGGACGTAATAAGTTATATCCAGTTATAAAAATAATAAATAAAGTAGTGGCGAGATCGACTCTCTCACTTTCTTTCTTTCTCTCTCGACGGATGATCGATTATCACGTTTGGTATATGACAGGTTTAGCGTGCATAAGAGATGGATTTTAGCCGCAAAGTGCAAAAACAGGGGAAATTTTCTCTAATAATTTTAGTTTTTCCAGTATGGGTTGCTTTAGCAAACATTTATCATTGTGTCTCACTTTATTAGCTTAATTTGAATATTTTTATGAAAAATACTAATTAAAATTTTTAATTTTCAAAAACTCTAAAATGATTTTTTATTATTTTAATAAGATGAAGAATTAATGTATAATGTATCGAAAAGTAACTACGAAAAGTGTCTCTTTCCTACATCTCTGGTTTTGATACAAAGTTAATGGTAATACCTCCTGTGCCTGAAGATCAACTCTCGCATGTGCAATAGTATTTTATTATCGATTCTCGACCCCTTTTTTCTATATCAAGACGAAAATAAAAAAGTGTTGATTCGAGGGATACGGTGTAAAAATAGATAGTCGAATCGTAGTAATCAAGTTCGGTCAAGTCGTTATAAGTGCAATAAAAAGTAATCGTTTTATGTTAATGGTTATGAAATATTTTTGGCTTGAAAAAATTCAAGATCCTGAAATTAATTTAAATTTTTCTGGAATTAAAACACGAGAGTTATCATCATTTTATGCACGGGAGTGATTAATAATTTATAAGTTTATAAGTTTGCAATTAGAATTAACAGCGTTTTCTAATTCTTTTAAAAGTGTTTTACCTCATCCTTCTCCCCACATTTTATGATGATTAATACCACTACTTGAGGTGTTTGTATGGATATTGTAAATCGTAGTAAATTAACTAACTGAAAATTGTAAATTAGCTTAAATTGACAAACTTTCGCTGACACTAAGTAATAGCTAAAAAGCTACAAGAGTTGACTTTTTAATTGTAACTCTGCAAAAGGATCCGGAGATTATTAGAAATGAATTAATTATTCAATCTCCAGTGTCATTGAGGAGCTCGTTCTAGACCAACATATGACTGATCTACAACCAGCCACAATTTATGAGATTTCAGAATGGGAAAATCGAAAAAATAGTGTGTTCAATAAATGTTTGATTTCTGCAAAGCATACTTTCGTGGATTGTATTGCTCGTGATTTAACCCAACCTAACCCAACGTTGTTTAATCTGACTAATTTGTCTGACTATTTGTCTAATTTTGCTGATAAACAAATCAGTACAGCTGATGGCTTATGCGGAATATTAACATCTTAAGCCGAACGAGAAGGGATGCAGAAGAAACCTACAAACAAATGAAGGACGTGGTGAAGCCGGTTGGGCTGAGAAGAAACATAGAGAAAATGAAAGTAATGATGCAGACTAGGTCTGCCTTCTATCTTGGAATAGAACTGGCGAAGAATGGCAGCCAGGCAGGAGAAATACAAAGAAAAATATTACTGTTCAATGAAGCTTACTATGCAATAGCCTATATGATCAAATTTAAGGATATACATTGAAACATAAAGCTCTGGATCTATAAAACAAGTAAGGTCTATAATGACATATGATTGTGAGACCTGGACGCTAACTCAGAATTTGGCTTCGAGAGGAAAATCCCGAGAAAAACTGTAGGGGAATAAATGAGAAAAATATATGTAAAACAGGATATAACCAGGAATTATATAGCTAGTACGTCAAGATCCAGAGATAGCAATGTGCAAGACCTGTACATTGCTAGACAGACCTGCAGGTCAGGATGAAGAAAGAAAGGATACCGAAACAACTGCCTATCAGGTGAATGTAAGGAATGAGACCTAGGGAAAGGCCGAGAATAAGATGGACGAAATGGATAGGGATGCTTGAGTTAAAAACTGAAGGAGGGAGGCCATGGGCAGAGAAGCATGGAGACAAAAGTTGAGAAACGCCAGGGACTAATAACGGTCTGTAATGTAATACAAAGACATGTTTAAGAAGTATAGGATGTCAAAACAGCTAACCGTCCTGATTGAGTTAGATTATGCATCAAAGATTTGCATAATGGAAACAATGTTGAAATTATTTCGTCGTGTTTAGGTTCGACTCTTGGATGATGTGGATTTTAAATATCAACCAACACATTAAATATTGATCTTTTATTATAAACTTTTTCAAATAACCAAAACATCAAGATTAAAGGCAGAAAATTCATGGCGTAAGCAGAGATAACAATCGTTCGTCAAGTTTAACCACTTTGTTATATTATTTTGTTTATGAATTTGACAAACGAAGAAGTTTGGAAACTGACTTAAACAAAAATTTTTCCAATCTGATTCAAAGAACATTAGATAAACAATTTGATGAACCAATTATTCAACAAAAGCAATATATTACTCACTCCTTCCTAATCACATCTAGCTTGGATTAATTAAGCAGTTCTCTAAGTTTACATCTAGAAGATGGTGACTTCTAGATTTGATAACAATATTGTTGAAAATATTTTCTGGAAAACTTAAAATAAGGGTTTTTGCAATTGCTTTCTACATGTAATGAAACCTCTGAAGAATTGTTTTGGGTTTCATTTTCGAAAATCATGGAAAGTAAAAATCGAAACTACAAAACTATGATGACAACTTTGTTGCACAGATTAAGATGCACTATGTACAGGGTGTCCAAATTTCGATGGGTTTGCAGGGTATCTCAGTTATTATGAAAGATAGAAAGTTGCGGCTTTCGCGAACCTGAGCTACTTTTTTGTGAAACTTACAATGGCGCAAACCAAATTTTCATAGCCCTCTTCGTTTTTGATATACAGGGTGTGTTTCAAAATTTACGATTTTCAGACACCTCCTGTATCTCGGCTATCCGGAAATGTAAAAACGGGTTCTAATAGATTTTTTCACGTAGAATCCAATGCTGCACGTAGAATTTTTCTAGTCATCACGGTTTTTGAGTTATAAAGAGTTAAGTATTTTAGAAGTTGAGTATTTAGTATTTGAGTTGTGTTTATAACTCAAAAACCGTGATGACTAGAAAAAATCTACGTGCACCATTGGATTCCACGTGAAAAAAATCTATTAGAACCCGTTTTTACTTTTTTACTAAGTTTCCGGATAGCCGAGATACAGGGGTGTCTTAAAATCGTAAATTTAAAACACTCCCTGTATATCAAAAACGAAAAGGGCTATAAAAATTCGGTTTGCGCCATTGTAAGTTTCACAAAAAAGTAGCTCAGGTTCGCGAAAGCCGCAACTTTTTATCTTTCATAATAACTGAGATACCCTGCAAACCCATCGAAATTTGGACACCCTGTACATATATCGCCAAATGTTTCGGCAATTCCGAAACAGTAAAAAGTTCCAATAAAAGACATGGAAAAGAGATAAGCAGAAAGGTGGAATGCAAACATGTTTATTGATTTTTATGCTAAAGTGTTTTATGCTTTAAACAAAACACCCTTTAAAAGACCTTATTATCAAATTATCGTCGTAGATATTAGAAAATGCAGCAAGAGTTATTTTTAAAAGTTCAAAATTAGGATTATTAAGAGTTTACGTCTCTGACAATAAAAACGAGTGATACTATTATTGCTACTGTATACGCTGGTATGTAAGGTTATCGAAAATGGGAAAGAAATAGTTGGCAACAGCAGCTGTAGACATATCGTTTTATTTTGACAAAAGTGGTGCACACACTTTTATAAATCTTCACGATTACTTTGGACGCCTACTTTTTGCTTATAAAACTTTTTTTGTAAAAACCTCGAATGTATTTATCACAAATAGTGAAAAATCGCAACAGTTTCTTTTTATATCGAGTGCAACGTAAATAAGCCAAAAATAGCTTAATGGTAATCCACATATGTAATAGGGTACATTCGAACACGAATCTATTTAATTATGCCAGTTTGGAGCCTGCCGAACTTTTAATGGACAAGTCGTAAAACCGACGGCGGCGTAGAATTCGGAATTAAATTTTACGTTTGTAGTTAAATTTTGGTGCGTTTCTCTCTCGGTCTTTGTTTCTCTTTCCCAGGAGCTCAGGCGGTGATATTGAATCCGATTAGAGGAAACGGCGATAAATTAGCATTTTTATAGGAACTAATTGTGCCGACGACAATTATTATCTTGTAGCACCAGTTCGAGATGTGACTTTCGATTAAGGTTTTGAGTTGGGATCGGAGATGTTTAGGGTTTGTAATAGCTCCTCGTTAAATCGAAAATAATTTTATAGCGACTTCTTTTTGAAATTATTGAAATTATAGTTGACGATTATTTTTAGTGTAATTCGGTGTCTGGACACTTTAAGGTTAAATTTAAAATAATTTTTGAGTGTGCGTTGACCGTTAACACTCGAGGCATCTTTCGTCAGCTTTATTATACCGTTCATTTCTGCAAGCTGACGTGAGTCGTTTCTCTACTTACCTAATTAACAATTCCGGTAACTCTAATGAATGCGCTGCTTATTCAAGCTCGTTCGTGACCGCCTCCGAGGAAGCTATAAACAAGATAATGACAACGGGGTTGTGCTTATTTTTGCTTCATTAAGCCACCTGGTTATTTGCCAAGCTTACATTAGCTTTGTTAAAATAAAGATTAAAAAAATTTGTGATTTTTTATTATTATTTTGTTTTAGTTGGTAACCAACTGTTACAATTTTAATTTTTTTGTTTTATTATTTTTCAGCAGAAGGTCAAGTTCTGGTTCGCCACGGGTGGTGCAGGTTTCTGCTTGAGTAGATCTCTGGCTTTGAAAATGGTCCCGGTCGCAAGGTAAATACCTCCTTTATGATTCTCATACACTCTTCCCCACGGCGCAGGTAACGGCGGGCGACCATCAGAGGGTGTTGTAAATCAGACGCCCATCTGGGGGAACGAATCTATTAAGTTTTGCGCGCAATTGCACGATCCTACCCGCATTTTCTGGGGTTTACCTCAACATACCATAACCATATTATTTTTTTATATTATTTTATAAAAATAGATGATTATAAACCTACCTGTAGTAACAAAGAAAACGGTTTTATCTAATTGGGTCCAACCTTTTTGTGTAAAGTCGTCGCCGAAATTAATGACTCCCCCTATCTAATCAGCTGTCAATTAAGGAGGTTCTCGTTCGGGTTTGCCGGATTCCTCGGCGCAAAAGAACTGTTTAGAATTTTAACAATACGATGGTCCTTCGTCCGGCATTCTTTTTCGCGAATACCCCGCGTTCAAAATTTCACTAACGATTCCTTACAAAATGAAGGTTCGACTTTGAAGTCGCCGACATTACCCCAAAAGCAAACGTTTGCTCGCGGAAATTAATCCCGATTGAGCCGAATCCTAGGTCGACGTCTTCACCCTATTCGGGTTCTATGTAACCACGAAACCATTGATTGCTCTCCTCAAGCTTATCTAAGCGAATTCGAAATCAGTTTCTTTGATTTATTCAAGATGCGGTTTCCAACTTATTGAGACACCCGGAAACGAATCAGATTAACTAGAAAGTTTTTTTTTTCAATAAACCTCCAATCCAACACGTCAATGTCAGAGTAAATCTTGATCCTCTTTGTGGGCTATTAAATCGATTCTTGGTATCAGCGCGCAACGGGTTTAGTGTTAAATTGGATAAGTCGTTGAATCGATCGATCGGCAATAGAGAGTCATTTTTACCGCTTTAACCATCGGGAATTCCCCGATTTTGTAAATTGAACATAAAAAGAAATACGATTGTTAAATCGAAAAAAAGTGGGAGGGTTTCCGGAGGCTACACGAGAAACGCGTGCAATTATAGATTCCAATTAAACACTTTGAAGTGTGCTAACCGTTGCCTGTCCGTATCACGGCATACTCGCTCGCCAACATTTATATGTAAATGTATTCTACCGGACGAAACGTTCCAAGTGGTGCAACTGATGGTATATTTTCCAAAATTTCACTTCGAACTACGTTAGTGGCTAGATACAGGGTGTCGTGGCATAATTTTAATGATAAATACTAGAGTGAAAATGATGACGATTTAAACCCATAAATGGATTAGATATGGGCCTTCAATGTTAAAAACTTTTCAAACATTTTCTTAAATATTTTCAATATGGTTTGTCGTAGAAAGACTAAATTTGCAACCAAAGAAGTGCAATAAACAGTGAAATTAACACTAACTATTAACGCTGCTAACTAGCTCTACTTACCAGTGTCACTAGAACTAACATTAGACCTAGAACTAGAAACATTCAGGTTTAGCCGTCTTAAGAGACGCACGGCTAAACTTAATGTTTCTAGTTCTATGTCTAGTTTTATTTGTTATTCAGCGTTAGATTCTTGTATATATTTTTGATTCTATTATCATCGTGAATTCATTACATGAAGGGATGGAAAACGATGAAAAGTAATTTTTTATTTAGATCAGTGCTACAATGTTTCGAGGAAAACTTTCCTCTTCTTCAGGCACAACGTCGAGTTATGAGATAACAAATGGCGAACGAAATACAAAGACGATAGCAACGATCGACATCACAACGGACCACATAAATCAACTAAACTTTAAAGAAGTTTAGTGTAGTCCCATAACTTGACGTTGTGCCTGAAGAAGAGGAAAGTTTTCCTCAAAACATTGTAGCACTGGTCTAAATAAAAAAATTACTTTTTATCGTTTTCCATCCCTTTATTTAACTGGGTTCCTGCCTGGTTTCAATGAAAATATATTTTTGTGTATTGCATCATCTTAAGTAAAATTCGCTGTATGTGTGTCTACACTTTTTTTCTTTTTCGGGTACACATAACATTTCTGTGATAAACCGGACCCAATGATTATGACCTATGCGAAGTTAGCCCCCAATTTTTCTAGCCCCCAATTAGATAGGATTTTACATGTATAGTATTTTGATTATAACAAGAAAGCCAGTTAACCGATTTCGATAAACAATGTCTTATTCGACAGCTTAATTTTTGGCCAATACGAAAGTGGAAATGCCAGATTCGAAATCTCTTTCTAATTCCGCTAAAACGCCAAAATAATGCGAAGCTACACAAAAATGACCTTTTTTAAGTGGTGATAACTCGTAAACGATGTAGCCGATCATCAAGATCTATACGTCATTCGATTCGTCATAGTTTCTTCTATCGAAATAATAAAATGCCCGATTTCAATTCTCTCCCGTTAACCTTGTACAGCCCTCGGAATGACACCATGTTCGATTAATTTAAACTAAATCGACTATAATTAGAGAACGGTTTGGCGGATTTTAATGTTTTATATCTCAATCGAAAGTTTATGCCTGGCTAAATGCGGTTGTCGAAATGCCCGATTCGAAATATTTCAGGATTTTGATTAAAACACAAAAAACGAATTAATCAAACACATCTATTATCTCCTTAACTAATTGACCAATTTTAGTGAACATCATCTCGATCGAAAGTACGATTCACGGTGAATGCAATGATGTAAATGCCCGATCTCAAAATTCGCTGATTAGGCATTTAGTACTGTTGATTAAACGACTCAGTGAGTGGACTGATTTTGTCTGCCACATTCTTCAACATTTTTTTATTTTTATTGTCACTTATGCTTTCTTCTTTACGGAATATTCGGAAAACATTTTAACTTTTGTAATGAAGAGAAAAATATATTAATGGAAGATTTTAAAAGAATTTTAATAATGGAAAGAAATGTAAATAAGCACCTTGCCCCTGAAAACTTTATTTATATTTCAATATAAACAACAGAGTTATGGGTTGGGGCGCTTTTTGTGTGAAACTATACAGGGTGATTCTTAACCTATACGCATAAACTTGGAGATTTACTTCTCATGACGAATAATGACTAATGGGCGAAAAAATTTGTAGTCAAAGACTTTCTGTTTCATAGATATCCGTGATATTTACTTACAAATCAAGAATACATAGAACATTTTAAAATAACATCACAGCAAGTGTTCGAAGTTATTTCCCATATTTTCTATCAATTGGGTTCCCCGAATCCACGATCTCCAACTAGCGCAGCCTAAACCAGGGTGTGTTGGTGGATTGTCTGTGTAGCAGCATGTACCTGATTTTGCAATATTTGCCCAGTATTAACTTATGTGGCGTACATTATGCTTTTTAATTGGACCATCTCGACCTATTGCTCCTCCAGGAAACACATGATTTACTACTAAAAAATTTTACTACAATTTTTTTCATCTATTAGTCATTATTTGTCATGAATATCCTCAAGTTTATGCGTATAAGTTGAGAATCACCAGTATAGAGCTAAAAATATAAAATTTGAAAAGAGGAGAGAACTGGTAAGAACTACAATAAGTTATACTAAAGGTAGAAATACTAAAACAAAAATGAAAAAAAGATTTTCTGGTTTAGTACAAATACATTTTAAATTAGTCTATTACTTTGTTGGTTTGTTTACATACTTTATTATGATTAGTAAAATATTTCAAACATTTTCACATTAATTTGTTCTCTAGTAGTAAATAATCCGTTTACAAAAAAATATTTTTTATGTAAGTGGGGAGTAGACTTCCAAACTCACCGGAGTCGTACTTAATTAGCAAATTTAGAGATCGGGCATTTCCATTTTCGCATTCACCATGGATCATACTTTCGATGGAGATGTTACTACTAAAATTGGTCAGTTAATAAAGGAGATAATTGACTTATTTGATTAATTAATTTTTTGTGTTTTATTCAAAGTCCTTAAATATTTAGAATCGGGCATTTTGACATATGCATTCAGCCAGACATAAACTTTAGATTGAGATATAAAATATTAACTATATAATACTATAGGTGTAAAATTCTATCTAATTAGGGGCTAGAAAAATTGGGGGCTAACTTCGCATAGGTATGATTATGTGCCCACGTTAGGTTAAGTAAGTCACTTGGGAAATCATGTTTAATTTAGACTCACATCAGGAAATTACAGTTCTTTTTCATCTGTACTATTACTTTTGTGGGAGAGCGACACAACAATTTTAAAGAAATGTTAATTAAACTTGTTCATAAATTCATAAAACGAAATAAAAACTACGATGTATAACAACTTTTGGAATTAACTGCATAATATAGTTCATTGACCCCCCAATAATAGCTTTTACAGATCACTATTACCAATTTGTTATTGATACTGACAATTCACAACAATCACACTAAACAGTTCGATGAGACAAAATGGAATTATATCATCAGAGCATCCCAGTACAAATTTAGCCGAGCTCTCCATGACACCAGCTGCCTTGGTAACCGAATCATTTGGTCATCGATCCATTTAGTAAATCACACATTCGCATTTAAAAGTAGTTAGTTTTAATGCCTTGACACATAAACATATCGATTACAAAAAAAATCTATAAATTCTTTTAATACGAAAGAAAAATATTTTTGGTAATTAAATGAAACGTGTTAATAATTCTGCCTATAACTCAAACTGACGTTTCTGAACTTGTTCCTTTAAATTGCACGTTAATTTACTTTTTAAAGCTATCATCGTTCCCGTTTATTATAAAAGCCGCCTTAAACTTGTAAATTAACTCGTACCTTTTCGAGCAGTTATTCATTTACGGTTGTAAATTTTTCTTTTGTGATATTTTTGTTAAATCGTCAGGGTATTCACAATTCGATTAGGCTTTTAAATAAATATTATGTAAATCGGGTGATAAAAATTCATAATTTAAATTCTTATACGTACGTAATTAACCATGAGCGGCGTGTATCTTGGGTCTTGCAGGCGCGATATCATCTTGGGGAACGTATTCACATAATTACCATTTTCCACGAAAATGTCCGTCTCCGGTTAA